ACGCGGATCCCGCGAATATTATTATTATTATTATTATTATTGACTGGTTTTGAGGGAAAGAGACAAACGGGAAAAGTCTGAAGAAAAAATTGACTGTCACCACCAGGATTCGAACCAGGGACCCTCGCTTGTAGCCAGCGATGCTCTAACCGCTGAGCTATGGTGTAGTCGTCATCCAAGCAGAGACCGTTCAACGTTTTCTTCAGACTTCGTAACTCACACTTCCTGTGAATCCACACAGGCGGGTGGGACGCAGCCCTCACTGTAACCCACACACTTCACGTACAAACTAGCACGCGGGGAGCCCCAAGTCATAAAAATTATTTTTATGACTTGTTATTATTATTATTATTATTATTTGGAAAGGATTGGGAGAACTTCATATTCAAAGGATCAGTCGGGGAAGTGAACTGCCTGAAAAGAGAAAAAAACGCCAGACCCACCCTGGGGGAGGGAAAAAGACCCAAGTGCCATCAGTATGTGTGGCACGTGTTGTGAGCTGCCTTTGGAGTGAAAGACTTGTCAGCGCCTTCTAGGTTCAGCCTGGTCCCATAGCTCAGTGGTTAGAGTATTATTATTATTATTATTATACACGTTGACTGTATTACATTATCTATTATTGACAGAGTACGCGGTCAGTATAGGAAATAAAAGAGGAGTATTAGAAAGACCGAGGTGAAGTCGATGTCGTTTGCGAAGTTTCTATTTCCTATAATATTGACCTTGTAAAAAGCCAATATAAGATGTTTGCCATACCTAAGCAGTCAAATATCCCTGCATATTTGACTCCTTAGGGCTATATTGACTGCTTTTTTTTTTCGTTAAAGGGATTTTCCAGCCGTGCTGCGACCCACAGTTAATTGGGAACTCGTACCATGGCACGAGGGAAACATGGATGCAGTGAATGGGCAGACGCTCAAAGAGAAGGTCAACGCCCGCCTGCGCCTTAAAGCCTAGTTCACATTCGACGGGACGCGACGTAAGGATCGACGGGAAGCGACCGGACAGTCTGATGACGTCCAATGGGAACACCAGGAACGGGAACGCAACCATACTGCCGTACGGATCTGGAAGCGATGGGAAGAGTTGGATCGATTCAACTTTTCATATCGTAGACGGGCGTAGACGGGGACGCAAGCGTACAAAACAGCTGCAATTTGAGTGTGAACAGGAGACGGCGTCGTGCGCCGACTACTCCCGACTTGTACTTGGAATTTGTTAGCATTTCGAACACTGCACTTCCCATGATAACTCGCAGATTGGCTGACACGACTTGATTTGAATTTTAGCAAGATAAGGTCTGATGTCACTTATGGTATTTAGGGATAGTTCAGGAGCGTGACAGACAAACTGTTTTATCATTTCCTGAAGCTATTATTTGAATGGCACACCTTTCGAACCTACTTTTTTGGTGTTCATGAAAAACTGGTATTGTGAACTTGATTCCGCTTCATTCAAGGAGAAAATAATAATTGAAAAGAAGTCCCGAAAAACAAGAAATTAGGTCATGATTGTTTGTCTCACTACACAGTTTTAGCGTTATAATTATTAGTTTTTCACCCACCGTTGCACTTAGCTCTCACTTCACTGCTATTGTCTCACCTTCCCTCTTTCTATTTTGGCACTGTATTTTGTTCTCGTAACACATCATTGAATGTATATTTAATCATTGTTCCGCATGGTTACTCTTCAGTCACGACTTTCCACTGATGAATGTGACAAGAAAATTAATTCTGGTAAACTTTCATGACTTCGTTGCAGTGTGGCGATGACTGCAGAATTTGTTCTTTTTATTGCTATTATACAGAAATCGATACATATACTGTCCTATTGAGCGTTGAGAATGAGTGAGAATCGTTACCTTTCGTACACGTAAACTAGTCAATTTTGGGAAATCGTTATTATATGCGCCTCGTTAGAATAATGGCTTTTACAGTATATTCGTTTAGGTGGCGCGAAATAACTTAAGTTTGTACAAAACTAAAGTTTTCTTTCTGAACGTTCGGGGTGACAGACCTCGACCAAAAACCCCGAAACATATTGCCAAGTACAACTGGTTTGTTACCACTAGACCAACACGCAATGCCTTATCACTGCCCCGAGCTAGTTCCTCTCTGTTTTTGAAATCCCCTTTCTTCTCAGCATACTCCCTTTGGTCTAACCTGCCTACTAGCATTAAGACATGCCAGGATATCAGGAAATTCACATTCCAGCTTTCCACACTGTCTCATCCGAAGTGATCCCATGTATTATTAATGTGCCTCCCTTTCTTTTTCTCTCCCTATCTCCTTTCCCTCTCTGACAGCATCTTTCTTTTTTTTCCCTTTTTAGCTTGCCGTGGTTGGCTATCACCTGACCTCTCATGTTTATTGGCAGTCTTCGGACGGGCCAGGAGATGTTGAATAAATAAATAAATAAAATAAATAAAAACAAAATTTAGTACGTAACAAGCCGGCTGGTGGAGTGATAATAATTATAACGAAAGATTTCGTGAAAAAAATTTGTACTTAGGCCATGGTAAAAAATGCCTTTGATTCTCAAGTACGCGCGCATCGATTTTTGGCGGCGCACCGACGATTTTTTTTATTTCTATGCATGGATATGCGTGCATGAAAACGGTCAATGCGAAAGGCATGAATCCGGGAGTAGTAAAATACCGGTATTTTTCTACTCCCTGGCCTGAATAATAAAATAATTATCAATTAATCATGAACCTGTGACGTACACATGTGTGGCCCTATCTTTGGAAATAAAAAAATTGTGGGAATTAAAATAAAAAATCGCTCGCTCGCACCGATTTTCACAGGCTCATGACCTGAGAATCAACTTTATTTTTTACCATGGCCTTATACATCAGTAGTGACTACTCGCCCATATTCAGGCTCGCAGTTGTTGTTGTTGTTGTTGTTTCTTTATTTTACTTCACCATATGAACAGGCAAGACTGCCTTCTCACCGGGGCTATTGGCCCACGGCTCTCACAATATGATGAAAATGTTTAAAATTTGTATGAAGAAGAAAGGAACGGAAAAGAAGATGAAATGAAAGGAAAGAAAACAGTAGGTATTAATTTTATGAAGGGGGGGGGGGTATGAAATGGGTATTATCATAGTTGATGAGAGAAGTATGATATCCAATATTCTTGTTCTATAGACTATTTAGTACGGGCATTTCATGAGAGTCATGCATGGGCAAGGCAGAATTTGGACTAGGGTAGAGGACAAGAACATAATTGATGAGCATTTGTTCAGGCAGAATCTGTGAAGAAGAGCAGTTCTTCGGTGCTCCGTTCTTTGGCACCCGGCAGTACTGTAGGCGACAAATTCCTGTTTGAGGGGAGCTGAGTAAAGCCTGTGGCTATAATCACTGGGATTCCAATCCTCCATCTCTCTCCTTTGGATATTAACTGCAACCATTGAACAGCTTGCAAGCTAGGCTGAAGCGCCACTATTCAGCCTGGTCTACACCACACACTGTGAAAGCTATGAAGTGGCTTTTTCTGGCCAGTGAATTCCTACTAATATTGGTCTTTTACATTTTTTCCCGCACACACATCACACCACATATTCCGGTACACACACCTGTCCTGAACATTGCCTTTTCCAGTTACATGTCCCCTCTTTGTGAGGGGCTGACAGACGTGGAGAGTTTTGTTGAGGTGCTGTTTCGTATTGACATCCCAGCGAGATCTCCTGGACTTTTCCCGGTTCCCTTTGTCACATTTGTGCAGCTGGGACCCTCGGGTTGACTAGTGTAATCAAGAGTACATAACAGACTGGTTATGTACTCTTGGTGTAATGTATACAATGTATATAACTGAACCTATCTATCTGTCTATAGGGCTTGAAAGTGATGACGTCGAAAACGGCCAGGGAGTAGTAAGTTGACATCAGATTTCTCTTTTGGATCCACTATACCAAGGTGTGACTTTGCTATTGCCTCAGTTTGTGGGTGCATAGCAACCCACTCATGTCGCATGCAGGTGTGACTTTTATTTCGCCACCAGTTGTAACCCCGCCACCAGTAGCCAAATCAGTCAGTTTCACTGGCTACATCACCTTGCTGTGAATAAGACGGCTTGAAATGTGCTTGGATCCATACAAAAACTGGATCCAAGTGGATCCAGTTTTTGAATTTTTGCAATTGTTGCTATGCTGTGACGTAGCACTTTCAAGCCCTATTCAGGCTATTGCTTCACTATTCATTGATCATGCTGTAAGCCTACATGGGTAGTGTTTCACCCAGTATGACAGTTTGCCCTTTCATCAATCATCGTGGTCTGCTGCACACGATGCATGGATGTGTTTCCTTTGTTTTGCATTGCTTGCTGCATGCACGCTTTTAGTCTTATCATGCTATCGACAGTATCGTTAGTTCCGGTATGGTGCTTTGTTGCTAGTCTTGCGTGCTGTGCGTAGAAGTCGTACCATAATCCATATGCATCTGATCTGAGTTGGCTGTACTCAATTGCCTTTAAAAGGTTTGGGAACTCTTTGCCATGAGTTCATTAGTAGTGCTTATGTTGTCGTTTTGCTCTCAACTTGTTTTGCTCTCTCTCTCTCTGAAATGTTCTTCCCTGAGTAACAACTAATTACTTTCGTACTGCCTGTTGATCAAGTTGGCGTGCATGCCTGCGTCACTGAAGTTCCATAACACTACTAGTCACTAGCAACACTTATCGCGTGAGCTGGAGCGGGTTTTGCAGCAAGGCAGGGAGAGCCGCTGACGGAAGCCACACGATGGACACACACACACACACACCCCACACATACATACACACACACATGCACACACACACACACACACACACACACACACACACACACACACACACACACACACACACACACACACACACACACACACACCACACATACACACACACACACACACACACACACACACACACACACACACCACACATACACACACACACACACACACACACACACACACACACACACACACACACACACACATGCACTTTATTCTCGAACAAGCTTGGAAGGCAGGACTAATTTAAATGACATGCCTTCTGCTCCGGTCACATGACATTTTAAAAGAAAATTGAAAACCAAGCTACCCGTTAACCAAGAGTTGATCCTGACAAATATGGCATGCGTATGATTATGACTATCAAAATTTTAATATTATGAATCTTGGGATAGTATCATAAAATTACATGAAAATACTTCGAAGTAGTTCGATATTTGCAAACAACTAATATAAGGATTTCGTGAACGCAAACCGGCGGTTCTAAAAGATCAAAAGTAGATGATTGTACCCTAAGCTACAGAGAGCTGCAGTGCAGACGGGTGGCTCAGTCTTCCGCCGGTGTTGATACGCAGGCACCAAGCATTCTGACATGCATGCACATGCTGCCTAGTCGCATCAACATTGGGATGATGCGCGGATTCAAGGTCAGCTCTGCGACCCTTAGGCTTCAGGTCATCAAGTGAGAAGTCAATCGTAGTGGAGTGTGTGTGTATGTGTGTATGTGTGTGTGTGTGTGTGTTTGCATGTCAGGAAGAGTCTGAGAAAGAGAAGAAAGACGTGTGTGACCATAATCGTCGGGAATCGAACCCGCAACCTATCGATTGGAAATCGCTTTTCTTTCATTCTCCTGGGTGGTTACCAACAGCCAGTGTATGCCGGAGTATGTGGTGTGGTGTGTGTGTAGAAAAAAAGAAAAAAAAAGAAAAAAAATGGAAAAATGAAAAATAGGGATTCACTGGCCAGAAAAAGTCACTTCAAACAGCTGTGTGGTGGATACCAGGCTAAAAATAGTGGCGGTCAATTCATCAGCCTTGCAAGCTGTTGAATGGTGTAATCCCAGCACAAGTTGCTATGTCTAACATAGCTGTTCGCTATCATCGCTCCCGCGATGGGCATGTCTGAGGTCTGAGGTGTTTGCATGTGTGTGTGTGTGTGCGCGTGCGTGTGTGCCTGTGTGTGTGTGTGTATGTGTGTGTGTGTGTGTGTGTGTGTGTGTGTGTGTGTGTGTGTGTGTGTGCGTGTGTGTGCGTGTGTGTGTGTGTGTGTGTGTGTGCGTCGAAGATATTATACAGGATCGTCCTGATCAAGATGAAAACTTCGTCCTCCTGCAAAAATAACAAAGAAGAACAAATTAATGAGAGAGGTATGGGATATGTGCAGGTGTGTGTGTGTCTGGGGAGGGGGGGGGGGGGGGGGGAACCAATATTAATGCAGTGTTGTGGGATGGTGTGCAATATTGTCTGCGCACTTCCCTTGTTTTTGGTCGGTAGGTGAAGCGAGGCTTCATGTAATAGTTATTTGGTCAATAGAGTAATTGCAAAAATGAGAGAAAAGACGCACTTGCTGGAGTTGACAAAAACACCACCCCGTTTATAATCACCATCTTTATTGAAAGTATTTTGCAAAGGCAATGCAGAATGATGACTGCTTCGATGACTTTTAACGTATTCAAAACGTAACACATTTCGTCACATGGCACCTTAGACCTTAGTCAGAGCTGTTTAGAGTTCGTATTGTTTCACCAGCAGAGTTAAGAGTGTATCGGTGAAAGGGTTGGAATGAAAGGCAGTGTGAAATTTAGCGCTTTAAATGGACTTGAAGTATGAAGGTCTACGATGAAGTGGTTGACTTGGCGAAATACACACCCTTGGAGTCGATAATATATATATATATACACATGAGCGCATGCCCTCAAAATTGCTTTCCTTACCATAGTATCACCCCCCCCCCCCTCCCCCTGCTCATGGTGGGACTGAATGTAGACACATCGCACCGGAACACATTCTTTGGCGTAGTAAGCACTATCCCATGGAGTGAATATCCCTCTGGGTTTGAGTACTATTTTAATACTATATTCTCACATCCATGGATATGTGGTAGGTCAGTTAGTATCTGAAACGAGAGAACTTGAAAGCTCAGGGCCCTACGCTATGCTTTTTTGCCTTGATGACCTAGACAAAAAAAAGCATAGGGATGTTATAAATTCTTTTAAAAATTCCTTTTTTTTTAAGACATAACCTGGGATTCGAACCCGCACTATCGCGCGCCCTGCATGCATCCCCCGATACACTTCGCATACATACTAATTCTTCCAAGTTGCTTCACATTGTGATCTTGCATTTGAAAGCCCTATTTGAATATGCATTGCGGCCAGCCGGCATATCCTGGGATTCGAACCCGCACTATCGCCCTACATGCATTCCCCCATACACTTCGCATTCATACCCATTCTTCCAAGTTGCTTCACGTTATGATCTTGCGTTTGAAAGCCCTATGTGAATATGCATTGCGGCCAGCCGTCTTTGATGGTACGGTACGGTAGGGATAGGTACGGGACAGGTACGATCGAGGGTAGTACGACACCGTCTCCCGTAACCGTACCGTACCATCAAACACAGCTGGCCACATACAGCTGCCCGCAATATTCAAATAGGGCTTTCAAACGCAAGATCATAACGTGAAGCAACTTGGAAGAATGGGTATGAATGCGAAGTGTATGGGGGAATGCATGTAGGGCGATAGTGCGGGTTCGAATCCCAGGATATGCCTGAAAAAATAGGAGAATTGAAAAAATTATAACATCCCTATGCTTTTTTTGCCGTCAGATACGGGATAGCGCCAGGCGTGACACAAACAAACAAACAAACAAACACACAAACACACAAATACCAAACGAGAGAGCTTGGAAGCTCAGGGCCCTGCGCTATGCTTTGTTGCCTAGCTCATCGCGCATGTTGTTAGAACTGATGGAAATGCTTTTTCCTTTGATTAGCTACATCATTGTATTGCAAAAACGTTTCAATGAGATACTGAAGTAACGTCTTCTGCATAGCTATGGGAGCGGCGCTGAATCTGCCGATCACGGGCGTTCTGGAGTCGACAGGATGTCTGTCCTGACGTTTCCTGGGACTGGCGCTGACTCTGCCGATCACGGACGTTCTTCTTCTTCTTCTTATTATTATACTGACGGCAACTAACATCCATTCTGATTGCATTTACTCGTCTCCCTACTTCGTAGTTCTTTCTAGAAAATCTCCCCATACAGCAGGGAGTCGTTTACATTATGACTCCCTGCTAAAGATCTACATGACTGTATATACGTTATAATTATTATGCTATCGGCCTACATGCGATTCCCGGGCTGGTCGACAGGCGGCCCAGCCAGCCTGCTAGTGGGATCTCGGCCTCGCACACAAATCCACACAAAATGTTACTGCACTGAATGCATTCCCCCGATACACTTCGCATATATACTCATTCTCTTGTTGGTACCGTACCCTTGATGGTACGGGACAGGTACGGGATAGCGCCAGGCATTTCGATGGCACAAACAAACAAAAATATCAGGGCCAGCTGTCTTTGCTAGTACGGTACAGTACGGGACAGATACGGGATAGCGCCGGGCGTGACACAAACAAACAAACAAACAAACAAATAAACAAACAAACAAACAAACACCAAATTAAAGCTGTGTGGACCCTGGCTAGCGCCAGACGTTACTGAAGGAACGTCTTCTGCATAGCTACGGGAATTAAAGCTGTGTGGACCCTGGCTAGCGCCAGACGTTACTGAAGTAACGTCTTCTGCATAGCTACGGAATTAAATATTTAGACAGTGTTGGCCAGAGAAACCCAACCTCATGAATAAAGTAAGGCCACGTTCGAGTGCACATACCAGTGTATGTAGTGCTAGGGCGGCGTAGCGCCCGGAAACACAATTTTATTCATGAAGTTGGATTTCACTGACCAGGACTGAACTACAAGTAGAGCATGTATTCGAGCCTGCCTTTCGAAGATGCCGAGACCTCTGGTCGGTTGGGCATGGCAGTCCCACCAACACTGTCTCACCCCATGCTAGCCCCATGTGCATGCCGGTGAGTTCTGTATCTTGTAAAAAATTAAACTAAATTAGGTTATAAGTAGGACGAGCTGAAGCGACATGTGGACTACTTTATTAACAATGTAAGCGATGGAGACGATGCAAGAAACAACCTAAAGGGTAAGGAAAAATACATGTAAGAAGAAAAAGGGCAATGGAAAAAAAAGATGATTCGAACAAGTTTTCGTACAACACTCTTCAGGAATCACCGTTGTACTAAAGAACAAAATGAGAACAAAGGAAATAATATAGCAATCAAGGTAGGGTGACACGATACAATGACAGCACTAGAATATCGAGGTGCGATTTCTCACAAAAGTGTGCAGAAAACAAGGGTATACAAGTAAGAACTAAGCGTGACAAGTGTGTATCAGCAACAAAAAACAAAAACAAAAAAAGTGAGAACGAATGATAATAATAACAATAATAAACAAGAAGGTGACAAAACACATTTAGGCACAAGTGGCAACAACGTTGCCACACTACACAACAGAACATTATTTGAACAATTTTAGGGTAATAACACTATCTTTCTGGACACACAAATTCGGCTTATGAATGCGCTGACAAACAGCTTCCAAAACTTGTAACTGCAAAAGATAACCATGACGAGCACGGCACAAAACAGAAAAACAGGAATCAGAATAAGTACGACAACAGTCAGTACTAGAAACCAAATGATTGTATACTGAAGACTTGTTATTACGAGACGGACGCACACAATCTCGACTCACGCGCACACCCTCACACTCCCTCTCACCCTCACTCAGCTCACCTTCTCCCTCACTGTCCGAATCAGAACCTGCTCCGTCATCCACCGCGGTTTGACTCTCCACCGCGGTGGATGACGGAGCAGGTTCTGATTCGGACAGTGAGGGAGAAGGTGAGCTGAGTGAGGGTGAGAGGGAGTGTGAGGGTGTGCGCGTGAGTCGAGATTGTGTGCGTCCGTCTCGTAATAACAAGTCTTCAGTATACAATCATTTGGTTTCTAGTACTGACTGTTGTCGTACTTATTCTGATTCCTGTTTTTCTGTTTTGTGCCGTGCTCGTCATGGTTATCTTTTGCAGTTACAAGTTTTGGAAGCTGTTTGTCAGCGCATTCATAAGCCGAATTTGTGTGTCCAGAAAGATAGTGTTATTACCCTAAAATTGTTCAAATAATGTTCTGTTGTGTAGTGTGGCAACGTTGTTGCCACTTGTGCCTAAATGTGTTTTGTCACCTTCTTGTTTATTATTGTTATTATTATCATTCGTTCTCACTTTTTTTGTTTTTGTTTTTTGTTGCTGATACACACTTGTCACGCTTAGTTCTTACTTGTATACCCTTGTTTTCTGCACACTTTTGTGAGAAATCGCACCTCGATATTCTAGTGCTGTCATTGTATCGTGTCACCCTACCTTGATTGCTATATTATTTCCTTTGTTCTCATTTTGTTCTTTAGTACAACGGTGATTCCTGAAGAGTGTTGTACGAAAACTTGTTCGAATCATCTTTTTTTTCCATTGCCCTTTTTCTTCTTACATGTATTTTTCCTTACCCTTTAGGTTGTTTCTTGCATCGTCTCCATCGCTTACATTGTTAATAAAGTAGTCCACATGTCGCTTCAGCTCGTCCTACTTATTGCCATATTAAAATTATTGTCTCCTCGTCGAATTTTTAAATTAGGTTAATTAAATTTTAAAAAACATCCACGACCACCATGAAAGGCAACAAAGAGCAAGGCGGAGCTCTCATTGTCCATTTCGGACCGGACTCCACATGCCCCTTCCCCATTATCAAATCTGTTCTGCATTCAAGTTCCCTCATACTTCTTGGCACCTTCATTCGCTTCTGCTCTGCTCGTTTGATCACTGTGAATTAAAATACAACTAAACAAACAAACAAACAAAGAGGAAGATAGCTTACTCTAGCAGGTCTTCCACCCTGGACGCAGCAGACGGTGAAATCTTCTCCAGTATGGCAAGAAACTGGGCACAGCTGGGGACGGGCTCCTGGTAGCGGAAATCGTAGATCAGGTCGACGACGGACAGATCGACATCGCGAAGAGAATGCCGTCTTGTGGCTCTTCGAGCCATTAAATGTCTTCTCAACGCAGCTGCAAGGAAAACAAGTTTAACATAATCACCCCCACACACACGCACGCACGCCGCCCCCCCCCCCCCCCACACAAAAACACACCATGTACCATGTACACGCCCGTCGCAAGAAAAGCACGCAAATCTGCAAATGCAATGGATGTGCACCCACAGATTTCCTCTTATAGCAACGATAGCGAACAAGATCTGAATGAGACAGATCAAGACTTGTGCCAGATAACTGTCTAATCCACCCAACTGGCGAAGCCATGTGAATCGACCACCAATGCACACCTGGTCTACACCACAAGGGGTACATCTGCATAAAACGGCCAAGACGGTTACCTATGCACACCCTACACGTGCTGGGGTAACCAATAGACAGCACGCTGCTTTGATAGAAGCAGACACTAGATGCACTGGCACCTTGAAGTGAAATTGGAGTTACTTTACTAGCCAGCCTCGGCTACTGAGTACTGGGAACCCAGATCCAACAGACATACCAACAACCTCAGCCATGAAAGCTATTATAGTAACGACACACTGGACACACACACCTCAGACCTCAGACATGCCCATCGCGGAAGCGATGATAGCGAACAGCTATGTTAGACATAGCAACTTGTGCTTGGATTACACCATTCAACAGCTTGCAAGGCTGATGAATTGACCGCCACTGTTTTTAGCCTGGTATCCACCACACAGCTGTTTGAAGTGACTTTTTCTGGCCAGTGAATCCCTATTTGTCATTTTTCCATTTTTTTTTCTACACACACACCACACTACATACTCCGGCATACACTGGCTGTTGGTAACCACCCAGGAGAATGAAAGAAAAGTCAGGAAGAGTCCGAGAAAGAGAAGAAAGACGTGTGCGACCATAATCGTCGGGAATTGAAACCTCTCGATTGACACACACACACACACACACACACACACACACACACACACACACACACACACACACACACATACACACACACACACATACACATACAAACACACACAAACACACACACACACATGAACACACACACACATTTGTACTTGTACTTGTCCCTCACTACCAAAACTGGTCAAGTGGGTCTCCCCGGGAGAGGGAAAAGAGACTTAAAAGGAATCTTGGAAAGATGACTCAATTGGCAATTGAACCGCCCAACGGCCGACACCCCCTGAAATCCACCAAACACTGGTCGAATTTATCTGATCCCACTTATGGGCTCACCACACCTCAGTAAGTGGGTGAGGACAAGGTGCAGAAAAAGGATTGACGGCATCAGGGTATCCGTACCGAGATCTAACTGCAGTTACCCCTACCCCCAGTGAAGGTAGTACTTGCTACTACAGTCCATTCATAAAAAGATGGGCCCTGGCTCTGGCGAGCTCCCGTATTTGGCGAGTTTTCGTGATTTCATCGTACACAGTGCAATGCTGCGAAATTTGAAATTTGAAAAGGGTCCAAAAAGGGTACCTGAACTGGGGTTCGAACCGCACAATGCACTGTTGCAGACGGGGTCAAACGGCCTGGATTTTTACGGTTTTTCCCAATTCAATGCTTTGGGGGCAAAACCTGGCTGAAATCCTATTCTTGTTATGGCTTGCTTTTTGGAGAAAAAAACTTCAGAAACATAATTGGAAGAGGATTCCATAGGGGGTTGCAGAAAAAAATTCTAAAAAAACTCAAAGTTCGACCCATTTATGGCCAAAAGCTAGAAGTCCATCTTTTTCTGAATGGACTGTAGTGTGGGTGGCTAAATCAGAGTGGATCTTCTAAAATTACGCTGCACTAGCACCATTGATTACACAGGAGTTATCTAGCCAGAAGCAGTCCATGGTTAACAGGTGTGTACAGAAGGCAGAACAACGGAGACCAAAAAGCTTTCTAGTAACCCCGAGTTTCGTGTTTCAAAAGCACTCATCAGACGATTTATACTTCAAATAGAAAGTATATGAACCCTGCAACCAACAAAGGCGGCAGGTACAGCACTACACTTTCAAGCAGCGGAGCCCGTTGGCAACAGACCCAACACAATCAGGCATAGCTGTCTGTACCCACCAATTATGGTCGGCGTTTCAGTGGACAACAGGACCTATCCCGTCAGTTTCAGCCTCGGAGGTACTTTCGGCAGAATGGTGCGGATGAAACGGAGATGGAAGTCAAACAAAGCCTGAACATCAGCCTGTAGCGGTCCCCAGCATTCGGACCCATAGAGTAGAGTCGACAGTACACAGGCATTGTACACTGACCGTTTGATGTATATTGTCAGTGTTACATCGTGGAAAATCGATTTCTTCAGAGCGCCGAACGCTTTGGCAGCTTGTGCGATCCGGTATTTGCCACTTGCTCCGATTTTTGATCGCCTGTCGGCCAAACCGACCGATTTTGTTCCCAAAGAGGGATGACCGATTATTTTATTTTGAGCGCTTTTTAGTCCAGTTGGCCATTCGGCGCTTCCAGGTCGCGTTTGGCCAGTGATTGTGCATTTACATGTACATATAGCTGTAAAATGCACGCGTGATTGCACGTGTGTGGACAGTTAAAAACGTGTTCTGGGGCCCCAACAGCAAGCCATTTTCCTAAACCTTTTCACCGGGGGACACCCCCCCCCGGCAGATTTTTATCCCTCCAAGTGTGTCATGATGATTTCATCGGCCGTTGCTGTGTATGTTGGATCCAAGGTAACGAAAATACGACACAAGGGCAATCTCCATAGTTCGAATCGCGAGTGACTCTAGATTGTCATTAGAGATGTTGGGGCCAGAAACCATGAACTTGGTTTTGGTGGCACTGACGGTGAGACCAAAATCGCTGCATATGTCCACAAGTACCTCCAAGGCTGAAACTGCGGCCTGGCGTGTCGCGGCCACAAGAGCGGAATCATTAGCAAACTGGCACTCCGTCAGCTCCCACACACGCACGCACACACATGCACGCACGCATGCATGCACGCACGCATGCACACACACACACACACACAAAACGTGTCTTGCAATGGATTGGGCTTGTATGATTCAAACGCTTTGCATACTGATTGCCGTGTCTCACAAATTTCATGGGCAATGGAAGCTGAACAAACCTGACCACGTACAATATACTCTAATTTCAGAAATTTTCGGTGCTCAATATTTTCGGTATGAGGGCAAAATGCCAGGTTAGGTGTTTAGGTACAGAGAAGCAGTTCCCTATTGGATTATGTGTGATAGTAATTGTTCCGTGTACAGTCAGACCTCGCTTTACCGTTTTCCACAAAATATCCGGATAGGCGAGGTAACCGGATAACTGAACACACATACTGTACATGCATCTAGCATATCAAAAGAAGTGGCATCGCACATACATGTAGACGGGTCCTATGCAGTATAACTAGCATGCGCAATATAGGTAGGTAGGTACATTTTAGATGCCACCACCAGAGGGATTGACACCTTTCATCGAAGGCATCTGAGAACAATGGCTGGCGTTAAGTTCCCGAACACAATTACCAACAAGCATCTGTACGACATCTGCGGCTCAGCACCAATTTCGCTCGAGATTGACCAACGGCGTTGGGAGTTCCTTGGTCACGTACTGAGAATGCAGAAGAGCTCTCCCCCACAGCGTGTGTTAGAGTTTTCAGCCACTGCGAGCCTGCGCGGTCGACTGGGCCGACCCAGGACAACTCTCCTCTCAGCTCTTTCTCAGGACTGCCTAGCCCGACTCGGCATTCGCCTGGGCACGCTTAGAGGCCTTAATCAGCTGCGGCAGTTGGCAGGGGATAAGTCACGGTGGAATGGCACCCCGCGGCACTCATCTTCCTCTGCCGAGCCGCGTCCTTGACTTATCCCCTGCAGGTTGATAATCGTGCACGAACAGTCTACCGTCTTTCTGACATTGCCACTCGAACTTGACAATAGATGCTGCTTTTCGTATGTGCAGTTACATTGAGCCATGGTGTTTTTGTCTTATGTTTGTGAATCCTTCCCGGAAGCAAATGCTGGTTTTTATGCATTCGTGTAATTACTCAGCGTTATTTGCAATAATAATAATAATACACATCACCACGGAGGGCCGCCCCTACCTGGGTGCTCCTCTGGGCTCGGAAGCCTTCAAGACAACATTTTGCAATGCTCGAGTGGAGGCTTGGGCATCTGAGATGCGTGAGCTGGCGAACGTGGCCGAGGCCGAGCCCCAAGCCGTGTATGCCGCACTGGTCTTTGGGTACCGTCACCGCTGGACATTCCTGATGCGCGTGTCGAGCTGTGCACCAGACGTCTTCGAGCCTCTCGAGTCCTCTCTTCGCTCCGTCTTGTTGCCAGCTCTATTGGGTGTGCCAGTCGTCCCTGCCCCTCTACGCAGCCTTCTTGCTCTGCCTGTGCGTCATGGTGGCCTTGCAGTGCTCAATCCAGTTGAGGCTGCCCCGCAACAGCGGACAGCATCTCTGTCCATCACGAGCAGTCTCCAGCAACTTATCGCGGACCAGTCCTCCCTCTACAGCGTGGACCCAGCAGCCATTTGCGCCGCCAAGGCTGCTGCCAAGCAAGCCCAGTCTGTGACAACCAAGACCGTCCTGCAGACAGCTGGTCCAGAGGCCCTACCACCAATGCTTCTGGAGCACCTCCAGGCCAAGGGAACAGGTGCATGGCTGACCTGTCTTCCTGTTCGCGAGCATGGATACTCCCTCGACCGGCGGTCCTTCGTTGATGCCCTATGCATTCGGTATGGCCTCACCATCCACGGTTCACCTACCGAGTGTCCATGCGGCCGGCCGTTCACCATCGACCACGCAATGATCTGCAAGTTGGGCGGCTATCCCATCCACCGGCACAACCATGTCCGCAACTACCTGGGCCAACTTCTTTCTCAAGTGTCTGAGGATGTGCAGCTGGAGCCACCGCTGCAACCTCTACCGACGGTCCGCACGTTTGACCATGGTCCTGCCCTGCTCACTGCGGACGACGCCAGACCGGACATCAAGGCCAGGGGGTTTTGGTCGGTACAGACTGATGCATTTTTTGATGTAAGGGTGTTCTATCCCAACGC